GGAAGACCTCTCATTCTCTGCGTGAGAAGGGTGTGTGTGTGTGTGTGTGTGTGCACTCTTACGGAACGCGCAGAGGGAGACAGTGTGCGGTGGGATCAAGGAAAAAAATTACCTCGAGAGGCACCAGGAAAATGCTCACTTCCCTCCTCCCGCAGGCAGCGGAGGGAGAGAGGAAGTGAGCATTTTCCTGCGGTTCACTCCATTGTACGTCGTACATACGTCCTATGTGTGGCAGGGACGGGGGCATGCCTCGTCCCTCAGAGAAGGTGGGCTCAATTCCCGCCATCCCCAGGGGGAAGGCCCACCTTCTTCTTCCTCCCCGTGTCTGAGGCCATCCTGGGGGCCCTGGAGAGGCTGGGGCCGCTGTGTTCGCAGAAGCAGATCACAGAACGCTGTCGTGGCTGGATGCAACTGGCTGGCCTCGATCTTCAAGAAGCTGCAGTATGTGTGGTAGCCTGCGGTGGGTGGAGGATGGCAGCGCTGGGGGAGGAAGCCCCCCCCTCCGCCGCCACCCCTAACTCACGTACGGAAGTGTCCTGAGCAGCCTGCCGGCGCGCACCCGGCCCCCTGAGCGCACGGCGCCTGCGCTGCCCGTGGGTTCCCCCGCCCACACCTGTCACAGTCCCTCGTGGACTAGCTCGGGGCAGAGCCTCCCTCGCTGCTTGCACAGCCTAAGCGACCCCTGCTCCTGGCCCCTGCCCGGCGGCCCTACCGGGGTCGAGATTGGCGGCTCGAGGTGGCAGCAGGCTGAAGTCCATCTGGCCAAGGTGGACAGCATTGTAGAGGGCAGAGAGGAGCACTCGCCAGGCAGCCACCACGGCGCCCACCAGCACGTTGATGGGGAAGAGAAAGAACGTGACTGCGGAGAGCGCTCGCCTGGGGTGGGGGGAGAGAAAAGGCTGAGGCTGGCCCTCCCCCACCGAGCCCCTTCCTCGGGGTCAGGGTCAGACCTAGGTACTAAGCACAGCCGCTGTTCACTGCCTATCATTTATCGAGTATACCTTCTAAGCACCCTGCCCTGTGCTGGGCCTGCTCTCTTGCCCCCCACCACGCTGGGAGACAGGTGGTGGTACTGAGGCCCAGAGAGACTGGATGGCTCAGCTAAGGCTATCAGTGGCAGAGCTGGGGCTTATGTCCTGGAACTTTCTGTGACCCCAGTGTCCCATCTCCCTCCTCTGGGTCCCTTGTCCACTGACTCCGAGTCTCTCCTGGGGCTGAGGTCCTCCCACAGCCTTTCCATCTAACATGGAAATGTTTCTGTTAACCTGCAAAGAGGGAGACACATGGTTTTGGGGAACACAGAGGGTCCAGGGGAGAGCGGTGCTGATCCCCAAAGCAGGAAAGGCTCATGGAGTATTTCTGGCACTGTGACAGGTGAGCAGAGAGGTATTCTGGAGTCGGCTGGGCCACTGTTCTCTTTCTCTTTGGGAAAGTCAAGCTCTCCTACGCTCCGCTGGGCTTCCCGAGAGAAAAGGGAGAGATGGCAGCGGAGGAAGAAGGACACAATAGGAAAGACCCCGAAGAAGAAGAGGCTGAGGTCCTGAGGAGACCACAAGCCCAGGAGCTGCCTCACCGGTTGGTTAGCTCTGGGTGTCCATGGCGAGTCTCTAGGAAGATCCAGTGGGCTGCCATGTTCTGCAGGACCACGGCCAAGACCAAGGTCAGCCAGAAGGGCCTGCAGATGGGGTGGGGAGGATGTCACTGTTAGTGGCCCTCTGGGCGGTGGGCCTAGAGCCCTCAGCTCCTTGCCGCTCTCACCATGAGGACTCCAAGGATCGGAGGAGCAGGAGGTTCCTGCCGTGGAGCACGGGCATGAACACCAGGAAGGCAAGGACCATGATCCCCAAGAAGAAGATGATCTGTTGCACCAGGAGCCCTGCAGGACAGGGAGGTGCAGGGGGACAGACATCAGGCTCTGTGGGACCCCAGCCCACCCTGGCACTCCCAGGAACCCAAGCGCTTAGGAATGGGGCAAACCTGGTTCCAGATCCCTGCTCTGCCGCTGCCTTAGCTGTGCCAACTAGAGCACGTTACTTTACCTCTCTGAACTTTGGGTTCTTCCTTGGTCAAATGAGGTCATGGCCCCTACCTCAGCAGGCTTGCTGGGAGGATCCAATGATATAATGTCTGTGGCAACTCTTTGAAAACCACAAAGTGCTTTGCAAACGTTATTTCCCCCCAGTTGTCCCCAAGCCCTTGGGGACAAGATTGCATTTTAAATTAGTGTTGCATTCCTATTGGCCAGAGTCCTGGCACACAGTTGATGCCAGAAACTCGTCTATGGAAACAACTGGCTACTTGTTTACACGAGGTCATGTGTCTAAACGAGCTTGGGAGGTATAAAGTCTACCAAGAGGAGGAATTACAACTTTTTGCACTAGTAATTTCTCTTCTCCTTTGTCATTCTTCTCCTCGTCCCCTGGGGAGGTGAGGACCGAAGGAACCAGCAGGCAGGGAAATCAGGCCCTGGCTTTTGCCACTCTGGCCCCAGCCCCCTCCCATTTCAGAGGGCTTTATTCACTGCGCTGCCCGTGGGGAGAATCAGAAACATGCTAGAAATTAACCTAACCTAACCCTCTCAGGGCAGGACCCCCTTTGCAGCCCCAACAATGACCACAGAACCCTGCTTGCATACCCCCAGTGATAGGGATCTCATTATCTCCACAAGGCAGCCCACTGTGGCATAACCCACCCTTATGTAAGCAGGAATGTGCCTCCGTGAACTTCCCACCTTCCAGCCCTGGGTTCACCCTCTGTGGAAACACCTGGTGGCAGTGAGGGGCCATCCTTTCCACAAGGGCTTCTGCACCTGCCCCTCTCCCTCAACCTGAGTGAGCCTCCTGAAGGCAGAGAAGGCAAGGTGGGTCCCTCTTGTTGATCTCGCCCCAGTTTGCCCCAGCACGGGTAGACACCCAGGGGCAGCCAAGACCTGCTGAGTGCTCTCCCCTCCCCAGCTGGGGCGGGGGCAAGGGGGTGCTCACCAAGGCAGGTAAAAGCAGTCTGGTAGGCACTGAAGCTCATCCAACAGAATATGGCCTGGCGGGAGGGGTGGGGACTCCGGGGCAGGGGGCCCAGGTCCAGGGCAGCCCCTCGGTACAGAGCTTGCAGGTTGACCCTGTTTGGGGGAAGGGAGTGAGGAAAGCAGAGATCTCAGGGAACACACACACTCCCTAAATTCCTCCTCTGGGCCAGTCTCTGGCAGAATTCCCCATCTCCTTACAACCTATGGCCACAGGCAGGAAAGCCAAGGGCTGTGGGAGCCAGACAGGGCTTCCTGGAGGAGGTGGTATCTGAGTAGAGTCTTAAAGGATGAATGAGTGTAAGTTTTAGTGCAAGGCAGAGATCGAGGGAGATGAGTTCAGGCGGAAGGCTCAACCTGAGCCAAGTCAGAGAGGCGAGGAAACGATTGTAGGAACGGAGAGTGACTCGCAGGAAGCAAGGTTCCAGGCAGGCAGAGGCTTGAGGGCCTTGAACGCCGGCCTAAGTAGGGCCAACCCTGTGGGAAAAGATCCCTGGGTAAAAACCCTGAGGCCTGGCAAATGCACACTCTGCCGTTGCTCCCCTTCCCACCCACGCTGCTCCTAACTAGAACCTTCTTCCCCACTCTGCTCACAGCTCACAGTGTGCAGGCAAGCGAGGCAGTCTGGGATTCAATGGCCCATCACAATCTCTTCAGCGCCCCAGCACCAGCCGGGCCACCTCCACAGCCACGCTGGCATGTGGCAGGTTCACTCCAGTCCCTGTTTCTGACACTGTTCCTCCTGCCTCTGGCCACCCTTCCTCCCCCATCTCTTGCCTCTTCCAACCCCCGGCTTTCCCAGGCTGCCTTCCAGCCCACCCAGGTGGTCCCTTCTCAGAGGGCAAAGTCCACACCCCAGCTTGGGGTCTTCCAGCCCTGTATCACTCCCACCAGACAGGAAGCCCGGGAGGGTGGGCACGGCGAGGCCCTGCCTTCTCCACCCACCACAGGGCAGCTGGGCAGGCGGACACAGTGACCACCTGGGCCTGCAGTGGCTCTCCCCTCTTCCCAGATCCAGGGCTTTCCCCACAGGCCTCCTGGCTCAGGGCTCCTGCACCTCTTCCCCACAGCTGCACTGGGGAGTCAGAGCCTGCCACTGACCTGTGTGTCACCAGTGAGCGGATCAGCATGAGGAAGGTGAGTGAGCACGACAGGACCAAGGCCGAGATGTAGCAAACTGAAGGGGGGGAGAGAGAACAAAGTGGACGGCCTCCCCGGGGCCCCCAAACTGCTGCCGGGGCGGTGCCCGGGTAGGAGTCACCCCTGCCCCCCACCCACGCTCCGCCTTGAGTGGAGACCCCCTCTATGCAGTGCAAGTCAACATTCTCAGCGGTCTCCTGCCCAGCGACTTGGCGGCCAGGACAGGGAGAGGCCAGCTCTGAGGCTGCAGACCTGGTCTTCACATCTGTCTTGCTGCTTCCATTGCGGCGTGTTGCATTCAGGCCTAGCAGGGATTGGGGGCTGCAAGCCTCCTGCCCTCCATCAACACCCAGCCTCAGTCTGCACCCTCACAACAACCCCACGGAAGGGGTGCTGGGCTGACCAGGGGGCTGAGGCTCAGCGAGAGGGCCTGACCCACCAGTTGCGCTGCTGGGAAGTGATGGCTCGAGACCTGCAATTGTTTCCAAGCAGACCCAGAATCAGCCCGGCGTGCCTGCCCCCTGATCGCATCAGTCACCCTAGGGAAGCGTTCCTGTGTCTGTGTTCCATCCAGAGACTGGGGAGCAGGAGCAAACACACAAGGAGAGGCAGGCACTGGTTCCCTGTAGCCTCAGGTGTCGGAGAGGTGGGTCTCTGCACTGACAGCACAGCATGACCTCCCGGAGCTGTTAAAACCCCTCGTGGCCCCGGCTGCACCCCAAGCCAATGAAATCAGAATTTCTGGGTGTGGGACCCAGTCCTTGGCTTTTGAATGCAGCCCGGCTTGAGAGCCGCAGCACTGGGGGCTGCGCAAAGATCGAGCCTTAATGATCCATTTCAATCAGCCATTGACTGAAATCAACCAGGCCACCGACAGGTATTGAGGGCCTGCTAACTTCTTGAAGTTAGGCTGGCGGCGGAATCACCAGGAGGGCGTGTTCAGTCATAGAGGCTGAGCCCCACCCTCAGAGTTTCTGGAGTCTGGCAAGCGGCTTGAGCCTTGGGATTTTAAAAAAAGTTACCAGGTGATTGTCAGGCACAGCCAGGCTTGAACAACTGCTACCTAAGAAAGCACTGGGCACATGCAGCTCTGTCCTGCTCCTCTTGCCCTTCAGGAGCCAGCTCAGCACCAACAAGGGGGCGCTCTGGACCACCTTCTGCCAGGTGAGGGGCCTGTCTGTGAGCCCGTGCAGGTGAGTGGATGGGTTAACGCGGGGGCGGGGGGGGGGGGGGGGGGGGGGGGGGGGAGCCCCCTTGGCCCCAGGCCTGGCCTTTGATCTTTGTCCATCTACCTCCGCTCCTTTCTCCCTCAGTTGGTTCCAAACCTGGGTCTCTCCAAATCCTGGTACCCACAAAATCCTCCTGCTCTCTGCTTCCTCCCCCCAGATAGATCGGTCTTCCCCCCACTGGGTTGAGGGCCTCAGCGGCAAGGCTGCCTCTGTAGCTTTAACGCCTGTTTTGCAGTGGGGAAAGTCAAGTCCAGAGAAGTGAAGTGGCTTGCCCAGGGTCACACAGCTTTTAAGTGAAGGAGCAGGAGTTCCATCTGAGCTGTCTGATCTAGTCCATGTGACTCAGAGGCAGGGCCCTCTGTGAGCGATGCTAGGCTTATGGTCCAGGTGCCCAGTGGGCAGCCGGAAAATAGGGTCTTGGGGTTCAGCAGACATTAGCTCCTCAAGCTAAGCACAGACCAAAGGGCCCCTGAGCCCGGATATAATCTCAGTCCCATCCCTGGCTTACTGAGTGGCTTTGGCATAGCTCTGGACCCTCCTGGACCTCAGTTTTCCTCATCTGCGGACTAGGAGAGCAAACACTGCTCTGTTTGGCCCCTGAATCCAACAAGATCCAAAGTGGAAGCATTTAGGCTTGGAAGCTGCAGCAGGTGATTGTAAATGCCAGTGTGGTGAGTAGAAAAAGTCCACTATCCTGGACATGTCGCCTCCTGCCTCTGAGCCTCCATTTCCTGTTCCTGCGGATTGTTGAGGCTGAGCTAACAGGGCTGCTGTGACCTTGGATGTGGGCCGATGTGGGCCATGTCTGCTCCTGCCTGTGGCCCAGCTGGCAGCCAACTTAGAAAACCTCCCTGGAGGTGTCATTTTCAGCCCACCTAGAACTTGTCACCTGTCCAACTTGTAGGGCCACATGTCCAGGGTAGCCTCTCAAATGGGAGCAGAGACGCTCAGGAAGGCGGTGGGAGTGGTGGTCAGGGAAGGAAGTGGTGACTGCACACATCTCTGCCCACCCCCACTTCCTGCCCCTTTCCGTGCTCGGCATGCCTGGTCTGCGGGGAGAGGATGATGTTAACAGTCAGGAACAGCTGCTGAGCAGTCACACCTCCACCTGCAAGGCTGGCAGCCTAAGTTCCGACCATCCCATGTTCCTCCTCGGAAGCCAGGGCGCTCGTACCAGCCCAGGACCCCCAAGTCAGCAGAGGGTGCAGGCCCAGGACTCCTGACCACCAGGCCTTGGCTCAAGGTGGTGGAGACTGTATTACTCTCTTAGCTCCACTCTGCCTGGCTGTGCGACCCCAAGTGAATCCTTTCCCATGCGTCAAGGGGGGACACTTCTCAGTCTCCTCCGCAGGGCTATTGGGAGGGCCTGGGATGACAAGACTAAGGGCTAAAGGAGGCATCAGACCCCAGAAGGGGAGGCTGGTATGGTTCCCCGGCCCACAGGCTCATTGTCAAGGGAGGGAAGGAGAAAGGAGACGGCCCAGGAGGATAGGGATTGAGGAAGAGAAAGCATCATCCTGCCCAACCCCACCGGCCCAGTGTCCCACGTCACTGCCTCCTTTCCTCCTTCCCTACCCTCAGCAAGGCTCAACGGGCTGTCCCTTCAGCCCACACATCCAAGGCCTTGCCCATCTCCATGCCCAGAGAGCCGCACCCTGGAGCCGGGGTGGGAGACACCACACAAGCTGACAAGGGGCTTGAGATGACTCCTTCAGGTCTCAGAGACTTGGAACTGGACGCTGCAACCAGCCCAGTTTGGAGGGGAGGCAGTTGAGACCCACACAGAGGAAGAGACATACCCACAAGCACCCCGCATGTCCCTGGCAAGCTGGGACTGAGCTTGGGTGTCCGGCTCAGGTCCCCCGAACGGGCCCTCAGGGATTCCGGGGAGGCCTCACCTTCCAGAGCCCACAGCTGATGCTTCACCAGCCCCACCACTTCCTGCCTGTCCTCTGAGAGCACGATCCCAAAGCCGGCCAGTAGGTAGGAGGCATCCGTGGTGATCCCCGCCCTCACCTTCTGGATGGTGGGTACCACGCCCACCAGCAGCAGCAGGGCCACCTGGAAGAGCCCCAGAATGAAGGTGCCAGGACCTGGCCGTGCTCACACCAGGCGGCCATCCCAGGAGAAGCGTTTTCTGAGCCAGCAGGGAGACTTCGGGGGAGAAACTGCCGCGGCACACGGCTGCATCCACAGGGCCAGCACCCGCCAGAATTCTTGTCTGCCCCAAGAGCGGCGTCCTCCTGCCCCTACCCCGCACGCCGCGAGCAGATCTGACTTTGGCCTAACAGGCGGCAGCCGTGCTTCCAAGCGGCACAGCTGTGCCCATCTGTCTCTCGGACAACTGTCTAAACCTCAGAACATGAAATTTCCAATTTCCCATGTTGGCAAAAGCCGCGTCTCATACGGATGAGCCCAGGCTCACCAGGGTTCACATTTTGGCTACCATGAGGTGTTAGCAATAGGAACTTGGCCAAGTCAATCCACCTCTCTGAGCCTCAATTTCCCCTATCTGTCAAATGGAGAAAAAAATCCTGCCTATCTCTCAGGATTTGGGCTTTTTGGTTTTCTGGGGGTGTGCTTGGGGGGGAGGGGAGTATTTCTTGAACACATAGTCCTTCCTAACTGCCCAAATCTGCCTAAAACTTCCCGAATGCTCAAAGAGGAAAGTAATTCTATTTCCTCTATTTTACAGCTGAGCTAATGGGTGCAGAGATGTTGAATAACTTGCCCAAGGTCACACAGGAGGCAAATGATGGAGTCAGGGTTTAAATCCATGTTTGTACGACTCCAGAACTCATGCTCTGACTCTATCTGAGCCCAGTAGGAGTTGACACCCCCTCTCTTCTGGGTCAGCCAGCATTCCCAAGATGTCCAGAAACAGCTAGACAGGATTGTAGTTTGGGCTTTGGGGGAGCTGAGCTGGGCCTGTGCCATCCCAGGCTTGGGGGTTGGGAGCAGGGGTCCAGAGGCAAATGGCACTGCGGGGACAGGACATACCTGGTAGATGGCTGTCCCCGTCAAGGTCGCCGAAAGCACCAGCTTCAGAGGGAGTCGGAATCCTGCAGTCGCCAAAAGCAGGGATGTGGGAAGCCCAGCACCACTCAGGCCTGGGAGCCCCCATCCCTCCCAAAGAGCCCAGAAAAAGGGCCAGGACTTACAGGACCCTAGACCACCAAAGCCAGGCCAGGGGCTTTCCCCTTGTCCCCAGCTGGGGCTGTTCCTCCTGACAGGGGCTCTGGGGGACGGGAGCTGGCCTCCCACTGCAGCTGTTTCGTGCAAGGAATGGGTGAGGTCACCTGCCACTCTTGACCTCAGCTCCCCACTCCATACCTCGCTGTGGAGTGTAGATGTAGTTTCCGTAGCAGATCCAGACCCGGGACAGGAAGCCGTGCTTGGAGGTGTGGGAGCTGCGGAAAGACCAAGGCAGGCAGGTGCCCTCAGGTGAAACCCCTGCCCTGAGCCCCAGCCCCAGAGTTTGGCTTATTCCTCACTCTGCCCCACCATGCTGCCCAGGGACAGCCTCCCCCCCAAACTAGCCTGCCTACCAGCTCTGCCCACTGGCCCACAGGCAATGCCTAGGACCTCACCTACTTTCCAGCTTCTTTCGGCAAAGGAGGGTCCTCAGATATTCCTCAGAGTAACTGCTCTGCAGCCCCTGTGGAGACAGACAAATGGACGAGCAGATGAGACCTGGAGATGGCCTGGAGCCATCCCTGGGTCCCTGGCTCAGGGAACCACAGTGGGCTCCACGAAAGCTTCTTGCCTGGAGTAGGGTGCAGAGGACTGACCTGGGGGGGCGAGGTCCGTGCCCCCTTAAGTTGCCCTTTGTCCTCCACAAATATGAGACTATCAGTCTCCTAAAAATACTCAGTGTGAGCAGTTCTTCTTGAGGTCTGTCTCCAGCTCTCTCCTGCTTTAGCCATTGCTCACTGCTTTCCTCCTGGCCCACAGGCCTCTGCTGGCTGAGACTGGGGCAGAAGGGAACCTATGTCCCACGGGCACATCTCTGACCAGGACACAGGAGGGGGCCATTCCAGGTCACATCCCCCAGGCCTCTCCTCCGACTCCAGGGAGATCACAAGGGTCACGGGATTTGTCTAAGCCCCATCCCAGGCCTTAAGCGGCCTGCCAAGTGGCAGAGGCCCATGGTAAGATGGGGTTAGCCCCTGCCCCTGATCATGAGACTGCAAGCCTGTCACAGGTTGCCATGGCAACCCTGAAACCCAGGGGAAGCGTGGGTCAGCTGGAAGCTTGACTGGGTCCTTTGAGGCTTAAACCTCCCTGACCCAGGGCCAAAGAGAATTTTACTTCTCCCAGGACTTCTCAAGAGGAAGGGCATGCATGGAGGGAGAGGTGAGGCAGAGAAGATCCCTGGAGGGGGAAGGAAAGGGACTAGGCAGGGTAGAGACGTGCCCAGTGTTACCACGTAAGAGCCAAACCCAGAGTCGGGTGGGCCCACGGAGGACCCAGGGCGGCCACTAGAGAACCTGAGCCCACCCGGCCTCTCCCGCCTCACTCCCCTTCTGTCCTTGGGGACCTTGGCTCCCTGTCTAGCTTCAGTCCCAGCCCCTCTCCAGAGCTCCAGGCCCGTGGGCCAGCTGCCTGCCACGCCCCCTTGACCGCGCCCCATCCCCTGCACACGCGCGCACACCCACGGTCCGCATAGCAGCCACCTCCCTACTGTCTCTCCCATGTGCCGCCTCAAGCCTGGCCTTCACCTTCCCCAACTGAAGGGTTAACCAAGCCCTTTCGGCATCTGAGTCCCCAACCTTTCCTGAGTCTGTCCCCCTCCCCCTGAGGGCCTCTGTGGGATGGTTTTCTTCCTCTCCTCCCCCACCAGGAAGAGTCCTTGACCCCCCAGTTCCAAGCTAGCCCATGGCTGGGGGATGGGCCCGGTGCTTCTCACATTGCCCTGTGAATCTTTGTTGCTGCCTGAATCCCCCCAGGGCACTGGGAACTCCTGGAGGTCAGACACAAGTCAGTGGCTCTGAGTCCAGGGTACCTCGCCTGGGGCCTGACACTTGGTAGGTGCTTAGAAAGCTTCCTAATAAGATTGCCTTGTTTTGTAAGAATTCTCTCTCGTTATGATGTACCCACCCATCGATCTAAAAACTTCACAAATATGTGTTGAGTATCTATCGTGTGCTGAGACCTGGCCAGTGCTACAAATTGTGTGTGAACGAAACAGACACAAGCCATCTCTGCCCCTTTACTCCTCTTTTCCTACACCTGCACACCTTCTCCTTATTCTCTCCCTACTCCAAATCCTTCCTATCCTTCAGGGCCTCTACTGAAGCCTACCTCCTCCAGGAGGCTCCTCACCGCCCCCCCCCCCCCCCACAACCCCACCCCGGCCTCAGTTCTTCCAGCCCACCCCTTCATCTGCCTTTATCCAACCATATCCAACCTAGAACTGATTCATGAAGCGACTCTGCCCTGGGTGTTTCCTGAATCATGTCGGCATCTGCAGGGCTCCTAGTGGGCACACGGCTCCTGGCCTGTCTCATTTCTCCACCTGGAGCCTCTGTGTCTCAGAAGCAGAACTCTGACTTCTGCCTTCTGGTCCACTTCCCTTTGTTGGGTCCCCATTGTGCGTCCGGCGGGGTGCCCCAGGTATCCTGGGTGCCAGCTGAAGGCCTGGCCTGACCTTTGCCCTGGGAGGGGGGACTACCCAGTCACTTGGTGACTCAACAAATATTTTCTGAGCACCTGCTATGTGCTATGCCCTACACGGAGCGCGATTGCCCACAGGGCACCAACAGACATACAGGAGCTCAGGGTGTCGGGCGTGACCAGAAGCCCAGCCCAGCCAAGCCCCTTTACCTCAGAGCCCGCTCCTGTCCTGTGGCTGAAGCTTCTCACCAGCTGCACCGGGTACCAAATGCTCAGGAATCCGAGGCCCAGAAGCAGAGGCAGGGAAGCCAGCAGGGGGTAGTGCTTGTAGATCTAGGCAGACAGACAGACAGATTCCCAGACACACTAACCTCCTGCCTGCCTCCCCCAACAGAAGGCCAGGATCAATCTCCCTTGCCATTTCACTCCCACCTGCCATGAGGGTGGCCTGAGGACTCTGGGTCTCTCATGCCCACCCCCTACCCGGGCCACTCAGCACCAACACTCTCGCTTCCCCTTGTGAGGCCCTGTGGAGATGCTCACCCTCCCCTGGGTTCCCGGACCCCCACAGCCCTGGGAGGAGCCAAGAGAAGAAGCTATGTAATCCCCTCCTCCTTGCAATGGGGTCTGAAACCGGGGACACCCGCTTTCTATGTTCCTTCGTTCCTGGGCTTTGGGCACAGGCCCCTGAAAATTAAAAGAGGGCCTAATTTTGTCTGTGTACAATTGCGACCTGGGCATCGGGAAAGTACATGCCCTACCTCCCGGCACCAAGACCTTCCCAGGGTTGGGCTCCTTCTGTATTCACTCACTTATTTGTTAGTTCAATACGTTTTTACCGGGAGCTCAGTAGGTGCCAGGCTCTGAGTGGTGAAAAAGACCAGTCAAGTCCCAGCTCTCAAAGAAAGCAACCAATCTGCATCTCTGCCCTGAAGGATTGGTGTTATCAACTCCGTTTACAGGGGGGAACCTGAGCCTCAGAATGGTGATGTGGTTTCCTCAAAACACTTAGCATCACCTGGCATCATTTTGTATATTTACTTATTGTGTCTTCCCTTCCGGAATGACAACTGTTGGGATGCCAGGGACTTCATCTGTCCTGTTCACAGCTGTGTTCCAGTGCTTGGAAACATCCCTGGCACGGAGTATGTGTTCCAAATATGTTTGTGGAAGGAAAGGAGGGAGGAGGGAGAGAAGAAGCTGGGTTCAAGCTCAGGTTGTCTGGCTCCACCCTTGGGGCTCTAGATGGGGCAGCGTCACACCCCCAGCCAGCAGCCAGTGAACCAGGTTCTGAGGTTCTAGAATTCTCTTTTTACCCTCCAAGACCATCCCCCTACTCGGGGCTTGTCTTCCTCCATCACTCCTCGCCCCCACTCCAGCCTGACCAAAGGGAGGCTGGGGAGTCAATAATGGAGGGATTTCAGGCTCTCCCTTTCCCCTCTCTGTCCCCTCCTAGACGGTGCTGAGGACAGGCCCAGCCTCGTCCCCTGTTCTTCCCACAGACGGCCCAGTGTGGAAGGGCCTGTGTTTACAGGAGTGGAGTTCTGTGCACAGTGGAAGGCAGCAGAGAAGCCCAGCACGTAGATAAGAGGAGAGGAGCCATGCTGGTTCATGCAGCCCTCCATGCCCCTCTGCCTCAGGCTGCTGTGAGTCCGCGGTTACCTTGGGTGCCTGGGGGCACTCTACCCTCTGCCACACCTGGACCCCGAAGTGAGCCCAGGACAGTGTGCTGCCCAGCAGGTGTGCGGCTCCGTGCCTGACCGTGGCACAGGCGGCCAGAGGGTAGTAGAGGGCAGGGTAATAGAGCAGGGCGAGTATCTTCCAGGGCCCTGGAAGGCAAGAGGGGCAGAGGGAGACACGTGCTGGAAAGGCAGAGGTGGGGCCTAGGTCCAGCCCCCCCGCCCCCCGCCAGGCCGCTCTCCTGCCTCCGCCTTCTGAGCCCCTCAGCTGGCTCAGTGAGCCAGAGGCCCACATTCAAATTCACGTTCTGACTAGTACCGGCGTTGTGATCTCGGGCAAGTTACCTCTGGGAGCCTCACTTTCTCCATCTGTAAAATGGAAATGGTGGTAGTATATTAGCAAAGACATCATGAGAAGACACATGTACAGCGCTTAGCACAGGTGCCCGGTCAGCTGTCAATAAACTTAAAGTTGCTACTTTATTACCTTTCCCTTTCCCTTCCCGGACCCTCCTCAGGGTCCTCCGGTGTGAGATGGGGCTACTACCCACCCTTTGCAGGGTCATTGTGAGGACTGGTTGACCTGAAGAGATCAGGTTGAGGACAGTGGCCCCTCTTGCTGGCAGCTGCCCTTTGTACCCTCGCTTCCTTGAGCCCAGCTCTCAATTCTCCAGAACCCCTCCTGCTTTCTCCCCACTCTCCTCCGTTCTCAGAGGGCTGGGCTGCCTGGGGGATTCAGCCTGCGCTGTTCTGGGGGTGCGGTGTGCACAAGAACAGAAGAGGCGGACAGGGTGGTAGTGACCCAACAGCTGGGACCCACAAAGGGCAGGTTTCATGCACTGTGGGAGCAGCTGGGAGCCTAGCGGGTCAGCATCTTCCCGGCAGCGGCTTACGACTCGGATGGGGGCTACCTGACTCGCTACGGAAGGGCCCTGCCCCATGCTCCGAATTCCCACCCGGTGCATCCCACCGATCTAGCCCCAGGGCCTCAGCTGCACTGGGTACCTCGGCTAGTGGGTGAGGCCAAAGTCAGGAAGGGCAGCGGGTCCTCGGCAGGGAACAGCAAACACAAGGAGCTGAAGAGGACCGTGAAGACAGCGGCAGGCACCATCCAGGTCCTGTCCCCAGCCAAGAAATC